CGCAACGCTTTGTAATGTATAGAAAGAACCAAACGCTCAAAGAGAAGTATAACAACATCAACAACAAACATATGTGTCTTGAGTGTGTTCCTATCGTTGGCCCCCTGGACCCTTTTTATCTGGATTTTGACCCATTTGTTGGTTGGAATTTTGGCGGAGAAAATAACAAATGTCAACATGGCTATACACTAGCTTTTGGACAATGTTGCAAAATTGTACCAACTACGACTGCTGATGAAGACGAAGACGGACTTCCTATCCCTAATCGAGTGGAAGACAGTATAGCATCTACGGAAGCTCCTTTACCAGATGATTTATTCGAATATAGTGTGTTAATTTGTATTCTCATGTCGATGTGTATCAAGTGTGCATAGTGTAATTACTATAAGAAGGGTTACTATCCTAAGAACTGAGCACGCACGATGCCGAATCAAACGGAACGTGCGTTTTATTTAAAAAAAATTAAGTGGCTTCGATATGTTTATAAAGGAACGTTTGAATATCAATGTAAGAACGAATCTTTGAATATCTGAGTTATAAATTGCTCTACATTTTTCACTTAAGCTTAATTTGATATTACCGGAAGTAGTTTTTGCAGTTTCGAGTGGAGCTGAAGAAGATGGCATTGCGTTGGCCGAGAATGCAACAAATGATTCCCCTCCACCTGGATATTACGGGTCGGGTAGCAAGGCTGACGACACTCCTGCTGAAATGAAATCATTATCTGATGATGTGAAAACGATATCTGAGAAGATTGCATTGGAAAAGAATACGATCGGTAAGTATCGTTGAATAAGTTGATTGATTGGGTAACAATGACAGCAACAAACCTTGAGAAATAACACACGGTGAGTTTTGTAGATGCTTAATAAGTAATGATGCGAGTAAACAATGCCAGATAAGTTGTCAAACCTATATCTAGCTGCAACATGTTTTAGTCCTAATATAATGAAGTACCTGCAATTATTTCCAGACTTACATGTAATTCTAATATAAAGGCATGTTCGATTAATATGAGTGCTAATTCTGAGAATTTCTTTGTCATTTTATTAGGACCCGGGGCAGAACAAGACATCCCCTCCTTATTCCTTATAGCGTTGTCAGTTCCCGAAACCTTACACGAAATTGTCAAAGGATAAATGTCAATGTATTCCTAACATAAAAGCAATTTTGTTTAGCTCTTAAGCAATTTTTATCATGACTACAGCTTTATGAAAATGATGCTCAAATTCTGCTAAGATACCATTTTTACGTCTTTTGTTTCAAAATGATAAATTATTTCAAGTTTCAGGAGTAAATATTTTTGTTTCTGCCATCTGTTTTCTTGATATTACTTCACCATGTCATAAAGAGTCTAGAGTTGTTATCTGTTTTTAACAAAGTATCTCTGCATTGACCTTGATTAAAATGCAATATTGAATTTTGACTCATTAATTTAGGCCTTTGTCTACCTTGGGTACTTAAATAATCATTGTCATTCTGCTGTTAGACATCTGTCTTGTCGTTCACATGCTAGACACCGAGTTAAAACATCATTCTATAAATAACTTGATCCGAACTGAACATCTCATTTGTGATATTATTCAATTTAAGCTTGATTAATGGATTGCTTCTTATAAGCTGACCTATTATGACATTTATGATATCTAAGACAAAACAATTGATATATCTACGTTGTAAGGGTCAGCAACAGAAAACCGAAAACCGTTAGATTGCACACCATATCTTTAAATTATAAAAATATGTTGAACCAATAGATTATGGTAAATAGGTGATACACATGAGTATCAATTTATATATGTAAACCGGTATATAATGTAGCACGCAAAAGCAATGACTAGACTTTTTACAATCGAAACTGGAATATTTAAATTGAAAAATGCTCATTTTACAAAAGCAGTTGTCGATACATTTTTAAAAGTTGTAAATTTAAAAGGTCTGTACTGCAATACAGGTTTATTTCCGTCAAGTTTATGCATCTTTAAATAATGTAAACATAAGCGCACGTACACATACCAATAAACATAAATATTTTTCCTGATATCTTTTTCAATACCAAATACATTTTCATAACATTTTCACAAGATAAACTTTAAGCATTCTTAACAGACAAAATATTTCCTTTAGACATTATAAAAGTAAACTTTAATATCTTCAATGTCTGTCTTTCAATATCTGCAAATCATGGGTAGAGTAGATGTTATATATTACGTGACATACAGATTCATGAATATTTTGTTCGTTGGGATTTGCTACATGTACTCCGATGAGTTGCCGAAACTGAGAAAAAATGGAGAAAACCGAACCTGAATGATTTTATACAATTTTCAAGCATAATAAATAAAACATTCTTAAATTTCAATGGCAAAACTCACCTTTTGATTGAGGTTAATGATACACTACTTTTTCATTGTTTTTTATTAGCACACATGGTAAGCTATTGTAATGACTCACTTGTCTGTCCGTTATTTTTGTTCAACATCAATATAGAAAACCCCCTATGACTCCTGGTTCAAAAGCTCGTCTATTTTCAAAATGGCCGCCATTTTTGTCTCATGAAATTCACTTTTGGACCATTTTCTTTCAAACCTTTGTCGATAGGATTCCCGTTTTAAGTTATATTTATTCAACATCAATACAGAAAACTACCTTATGACTCCTGCTTCAAAAGCTGGCCTATTTTCAAAATGGTCGCCATTTTTCTCGCGAAATTCACTTTTGGCCCATTTCCCAGCTTTACAAATAATTTCAAATGTCCCGCATTGTAAAAAGCCATGTCACTGTAAAGAGTAGTTTTATGAAATAGTTTTGTCACAAAAGATCGGCAAAAATTTTAATCCGTTTTTTTTATTTTTAGCAATTTTAGTTAACATTGATTTGTCCATGTGTCTCACGAAATCCATTTTTGGACCATGTGCCCTAAAACCTCTGTCGATAGGATTCCTATTTTAAGTTATTTTTGTTCAACATCAATACAGAAAACTTCCTTATTACTCTTTGTACAAAAGCTCACCTAATTTCAAAATGGTCGCCGTTTTTGTCTTGTGAAATTCACTTATGGCCCATTTCTTAGCTTTACAAATAATTTCAGGTGTCCTGCATTGAAAAAAGCCATGTCACTCTAAAGAGAAGTTGTATTTTTAGCCCTTTTAGTTACCATTGATTTATGTCCTCTATCATCTATTGTGAAATTTACTTATGGCCCATTTCCTAGCTTTACAAATAATTTTAGGTGTCATGCATTGTAAAAAGCCATGTCACTCTAAAGAGTAGTTTTATGAAATAATTTTGTTGCAAAAACTTGTCAAAAATTACATCCATTTTTTCGGCCATTTTATCCATCATTCACTATTGAGCAACACCATGTGAGCCCAGTACATACGGTACTATTTATTGTTGTCTTGTCATAAAATATCATGTGATGTTTTGTCATGAAATAAATTCGTTTTTGTTTTAACACTTATGTTAGATGGTTTAACATCTAAATTTCATTATTTCTTTAATAGAAATTGGTGGTGGACTCACAGCGGACAGGATTGAAAAATCTGATATACCAAGCGAAAACAAGAACAAAGATGCTCTGATGGTTGGTCGATCAAATTCATTTACGAAAAAGTATTGGTATTATCCTCCAGCACCAGTTCGATGCGCAGGTCAATTGTTCGACCCTATACGCTACTTTTGTTGTTCCGCGAAACTCTACTGGAAAACCTTCTTTTATCGTTATTATTGGCATAGTAGGGTGTCGTATGTTGACGCATGTTGCTGCGGAACACCGTACAACTCTCAGATATCATTTTGCTGCAAAGATAAGTTATATTTGATCGAAAAGATTGGCCGACCAGGTTATGTTGGTTGCTGTAACGGCAACGCATACAACAAGGACAATCAATTGTGCTGTGGTGGAAAACTGTACAGCGATCAATATGGATGTAGGTTGCAATGCTGCGGTAGTAAAGCGTACAGTAAGACAGACGCCTTGTGTTGTAATGATATACTAATTCGGCGTACAGGAGATACCCCGATATCGTGCTGTGGGAATAACGTTTACAATCCTCAAACTGAAAAATGTTGCGGAGATTGTGCGACAAAGTTGGTGTCAGGGGAGAAGTGTTGTGGGAAAGGTATATACAAGCCTGCAACAGAAATATGCTGTGGGGAAAAGGCGTATCCCAAGAGCAGATACAATTCGTGTTGCTGGAATCCTCCTCGTGGAGTCGACAGTCGTCCATACAGTAGAAACTATATATGTTGTGGGAACAGAGTGTATCCAAAACTTTTCGGCACTGGCACAAAATGTTGTAGCTGCTACATGAACGGGAAATACATTGCAAAGATTTACAACTACGCCAAAAGTCGATGTTGCGGGTGTCGCGTTTACACCATGCCCAACCCCAGTTACACAAGTTGTTGCTGCAACTATAAATATTATTACTTCAATCGCTACTGCCCGTACTTCCCGTATTACTATTACTTCCCCAGGCCATACTATTACCATCACAACTATCCGACATGTAGACTTATAGATCCATCTCAACATGCCTGCTGTAATGGCAATGTATTTAATAAGTTTGGGCCGTACGACAGATGCTGTAACACTGCACGTTACGATAGAAGATATTACATATGCTGCAATGGACAAGTGAGAAAGAGAGTGAGCCTAACGACAACAACATGCTGTGGAACAGAGCCATATAACTACCGTGAAAACACATGTTGTTACAACAAGGTAAACCAATTTTCGTTGCATAAATTCTTGCAAATATGGTTTTCATACCAAATATGATAAGGGAGATTTATATCAAAAATTTATATCAAGAGATCTTGCGAAAGTATTTCAAATGAATGCATTAAAACACCATTTCTTCCTTCAAAGCTTAAAATATGTAATACTGATTGAAATACAAAATATCACTCGATGATACATAAAGGTTCTACGAATAACAGATGCCAAACGCTCGTGTTGTGGATATGATCTTTACAACTACAAGACACACAAGTGCTGTAATGGCATTGTGGTCCCCGGTAGAAACAATCATATATGCTGCGGGAATAGGGCGTGGGACGGCACGCTGTATGGATGTTGTGGCAATGAACCATTTTACAAGCCACGGTGGAGTTGCTGTAATGGAAAGAAGGTCAAAGGTGGAGGCAATGATGCAAGGCTAGTAAAATAGAACTTTTAGTAATCAATTAAAATTAAACCGTAATTGATAAATAGTTTACATACTGATAAGTGCGCTGATAGTGGAGCTAGATTTGTAGGTTTCAATTAGGTCTGTCCTTGATAAAGATGTGATCATGAAAAACAAATTTAACTTGTTCAAAATGTTCATTGATCTACGTGCTTTTTAGATTAATCTACTCGCATAATTACAAAAGCTCAATATTATAAAAATCTAGCGAAATAAATCATTCGTATAAGGTATAAGGTTGATTTTTCTGTAATATAGAGATCGACAATATAAAAGTGGTTACCCATTGTAGGTGCTGTGGGCTGAAGACGTATAACAGAAACACACATTTGTGTTGCTGCAGATGTGTTCATCCGAAACAGTCCTCGTATCAGAAGTGTTGCCGGAACACTAAAACAGTTGTTCCATCAAATCAAATGTGTATTGCAGGAAGTTAACTCTTGCTGGAAAAGTTCTTTTCATATGAAGCGATGCATTTGTAATGTGTAAAGTTAAAGATATGAAGTAAAGTACAATAATACAAGCACACCAAATCTTTGTACTTTCCACAACGGAAGTGGACGATTTGTTCATTTGCTTAAACTATGAAAGTGAAAAAGGCTCCTTGTATGTATATTCTATATCTTTTATTGACACTAGATGTCCTGACACGACATATTAGTCATATCATTTTTATCAAGATAAAGGCAAATTAATGTCGATATCCGATAAGGGTACGGTTTTGGCATGCGATCATACATTTGCTATCAGTTGCGATCACACAAGGATTAAGATAAAGGTACATTGTAGTTGTCAGTATGGCCCAAACACGAAGGACGTATTTTCAGCATATTGTTTAAACATCTAGATAATATTGAGTTATTGATAAAAAATTTAACTGTGGAAACTGTTCAAAATATCACCTAAACTTTGTCACCTTTGTTCTGTAAATGTTAAACTTTTACCATTTGATTAACCAAAGTAATGGTTGTTATAGCGAATAAAACATCAAAATGCGGAGCACTTAATTGTGTCCCAGTTACAGTCATCTTATGTTATCCAAGATACTGGTGATTTATGAAATGCAAAACCATTATTGAAATGAAGCTTACAAAAATAAGGAAGACCATTCGAGTACCCCTAACAGAGTAACCCAAAAAGAAAATTACGAAAGGCTGTGTTAGCACTCCAGTATATAAATTGTTCTAATAAACCTTAAGATTTACCTACTCACATATATTTACACAGATTTCTTATAATTAATCTAATAATAAATATATCTAAAAGTAAGAAATTTTCTACAAGTATTACAGGCAATTTATTTTTGAGCATAGCATTCACACATCTTCATGAAAACCCCCTTTTCAGGAAAATCTTTTACAGAGAGATTGAAATAATAACATAAATCTAACTGTCATGTTACTCATCGATTGAATTGGTCACATGGTGAATATAAGGGTGTAGTATTTCCCTATTATGCTTCAAAATACTTTGAACTTTGTTTGAAATGTGAATATTTCCTTCACATCATTTTCTATCATCTAAACCTTTGCCCCTTCATATTCGATGTCATATTCAATTCAGGAAATAGCAGAAATAGATGCGTTACAATAGATGATAAAACAAATAATTCTTCAATGCTCAGGAATGATATCTCCTTTGTCCTCCTAGAATTGGGGAATTATTATTTGATAAGGATACATTCGTTTTTCCGTCAACAGAAGGAAGTGTTTGTGTTATATTAAACCAAGCTACTTTCAGTCAGATATTCAGCTTTCAAACAATCATACTAATTGTATATCCTTCTATTTTGCCTGCCCTCACTCATATCGCTTTTTTCCGAGTTCCAGTTTAAGGTCCCTCCAAAATTTCCGTTGGTTTCCTTCTTCTTCACTCCACTTTAGGCAGACATTGTGTCTTACCATAAGTTTAAGTTTGTGTGACATATCTTTTTGTGGTATGTGTTCCATCAGAATAACTATGAGTGTGTGGCGTTTGGTCTGGGTGAGCATATCTATAGCAGAGTCCATTTCAAACTCATTCCATCCCTCCTTCATCCAGCCTCGTGTAACCAGGAAAATAATGTGGCGGCTACGGTCCATGTGGGACATTAATCCACCAAAGTAGGACTCTTGTCCTGGAATGATGTTATCATCATGTATCAGTGAGAACTGAACATCCCCGTTAGTCAGTTCTGGTGTCATCACGTCACGTACCCATATGCGTTTCTCAGAATGGTAACTGATAAAAGCATCATATATTTCATTGTCTTGGATGACATCATCATTTAGAATATCATTTTGAATACCATTTTGATCACCAATTTGAATGTACCCATTGTGCCGTTTTGCTCTCCTGACCAGCTGCATGTATTTGATGTCTCTCCAGAAATATTTCAAAAGTGAAGCAGTTATTATTCCGACCAGAATTACACTGCTAATTGAAAGAGAGATGATTCTAACAAAGGCGTTCATGTTGCATTGCACCCATGTTAATTCAAATGTCAACAGTGCATTATGTGTTGGCCCAGTGGAAGAAGCACAAAACCTATCATGAGTGACCCATGTCTCAGATGAATTTTTTCTTCGTTTTAACCAGTTCATAAAGGGTTGCGTTGCACAGTTACATTCAATTAAGTTGTTTTCAATACTTATCCGTGCAATTTCGCCAAGGGCTGTTCCATCAATTAAACTGATGGCATTTCCAGTTAAGTTTAAAAGTTTAATTTTGTTTTTTATGTTTTTAAACAAGCCTTCTTGGATATAAGTAATTCTATTTTTACTTAAATCTATTTGATCAGCAGAGAAGTTTTGAAACATACAAATCGGAAGTATTTTGAAATAATTATCATTAAGGGAAATAAAACTAGTCCTGACTCCGTTGAATAGTGTACACAGAGTAGAATCTGAATAGCGAAACAATAAATTCCCTGATAAGTCGAGGACAATTAGTCTTGATTTTGTAATCACATTTAAGACTTGATTGTGATATGCCGCAAATGTTTCACCAAGATTGATCAAATTTAATTCAGTTATAGATGAAGTATCATTACTGAAAGTGAAAATTAGATGATCGAAATCTAATTTGTATAGAGAAAGAGCTCTCAATTGCTTCAGTTCACTGAAACTGACATTAGCCTTGTCTAGCCGTCCATAAACTACAGACATATCATGTATGTGTAAAATTCTGAGGTTTTGTAATGGTGATAAAGTTTTACTGGAAATGTGCATGAAGTTTGATATCTGAAGTGCTTCTAATGATTTCACAGGTTCGAACGCATCAGCTTCAAATGTATTTATTTGATTATCATCAATACTCAATATTCGAAGATTTGAGTTTTTAAGGGGCTCGAGGATAGATGAGTTGAATTTATCAATGACAATGCCACACCCTGTCATTTTCAGTCTAAATATAGACTTTCCCTTTAGGCCTTCCAGTAAGTGCATCAAATTCGTTTTACCAAACTTCATATTTCGCTCAAGTGACAAACTTTTTATCTGGTTGATTTCGTGAAGAAAGTTGGGTTCTGTTTCCTCAATGGTGTTGTCAGCAAGGTTTAGTTCCAAACAAGTAACATTCATAAATTGACTCATATCAGCTTTAGTGACTGATTTAATATTGTTGCCTTGTATGGAAAGATGGAATTTCTTACGTGTACCAAGGTTCCCATCGAATTTGAGACTAGTTATTTCATTGTTATCCAAATAAAGTTCTTTTAAACTAACAAGATATGATAAAATGACATCAGGGATTCTCTTTAATTTTATCTGATTGAGAGTAAGTTTTCGCAATCCATGCAATGGCTTGAATAGCTGGTAATGCTTCAGTATGCCTTTGTGTTGTAAAGTAAGTTCCTCGAGGAATGGGACAGCTAAGAATGTATCATTATCAATGTGTTTTACTTTTCCAAGAGTAAATACTTGTATTGTATGACAATTGTGAAGCGTTTGATAATTCAGGATTGAAATACCTTCTTTATCTTTTCCAATATCCACAATCCTTAACCACGCTAATTGCTTTATACCTCTGAAAGCATCTGGCTCCAGTATTGTAATATTACAGTCTGTTAGCAACAGGAATTTCACTTCCGGCAAGTTACTAAATGATCCATTTTGTATGGTACCAAAATTAAATCCAGAAATTTCGAGGCGAAATGTGAAATATGGAAGACAGGAAACAAGTTCAGTAAAATTTGTACTTGTGTTGTTGGGTATATTTTGATGACACTCGCAAATGATTCGGTTACCCCATGCTCGAAAACATTTACAAAAATCACAGTTGTTTTTTAGTTGTTGTTTAACATCCTCTTTAAAAGTATCTCCAATTACATATGTTTGTAATTTTACAAAGTCTCCGGTTATTGATCCATCTTTCAATGTTTCTTTGATGAATTTTTCATCATAATTTTCGTGTCCAAACCATGTCACTTTTTTCTTTTTGAATTCCAAATTTTCTTCCATTAAATCATATTGCTTTTTATTTGTTTCAATGGTAGTATCTTGTTCTCTGAATATTTCCTTGTTGCTCCTCTTCAACAATGTTCCTGACGTACACAGGCATATGATGAAGCCAACTCTGTAAAGCATCTTTATCGGTAGAATGTTCACTTTAAACAACAGATGAAATTGATAAAATCAAATATAAATCAAGTAATGTTGCCTAACATAATTTGGATCCCAGTGTAATGTTTAAAAGGAAAGTTGAATTCTTGAATCGTGTCATGATAGACATGAGGAAGTACCTGTAGTATTAATTACATATAGTTAAATTGTCGTGTCTAACCAAACGTTTCAAGTTTATAAATAAGGCTAAAACTCTACTGGGCATATCCAGCTTAACAAACATATACCAGCATCAAAAATTTAAGAATATTAACTAACTAATATGCATCATATGAATTCAATTCAAGCGACTTGATAGCATTTTCAAACTTTCCTATCTCATGGTGTCCAACCCAAACGCTCTTACATGCACGACGGAGCGTTTCATTACTGAAGCTAAACAAAGAAGCGCAAAAATGCAAATTAAGTAGACAATTAAATTGCCATAAATTAATACGTTTCTTCAGGTCTAACAACGTTATAGGTCTAAGATAATTGTTTAAGAAACAACTCCCATTGAAGGGAATCGAGTATCTTCTTTAAGCAACACATCCCGATATAAAAGAAGTAAAACGCTTAACAATCAACCCCAAGACAAGTAATAGTTTATTAGGAAGGGAGGTTACCTATGTACCCGGAAGATTTTTAATTGTAATTAAGGATAAAATATGAGATGTCTACTTAAAAAAAAATTGATGTTAACATTGCCATGATTTGAGCAATTTTTCTATTGAGGGTTTACACCCCTCCAAGGACGTATCCAAATTTACATTTCTTCAGTGCCATTGATGTTTTTATTTTCGAACATGACAAATATAGGAATAACGTTGATTAATCATTTGAACACAGATTCATGCAAATAGCTCTTATGAAACTCGCTATAAGCAAAACTGGGTACCTCTGGGGGCAGAATTAGGAACGATACGATTTTTGATATGACAGGTGTTAGTAAATCACTTTAATACAACCTTTAGCATACATTTTTGATAAATAGACTTTCTTTTCATCGTTGAAAATAAATTCTTGAAAATTTATCTTCCGGGTGCATGATGACCCCTCCATCTTACTAAACTTTTATATAAAACCTCGAATGTTTAAAAAATTATTTTTATACACTGTATGTTGAAATCTCACATCCATTAATCATGTAAAATATTTTTTTTGAAAAAAGACGATCCGCTTAGTAGCATACAATAATACAATGCTATAACCTTAAGTTTTTTAGTCACCGTAGTTAACAACAGTTAACAATATACATAGGTGTGAGACAGTGAATTAGTAAAGTCCTGCTAAATTTTGCTCCTAGATAAATTGGATATTCTAAGTAATTGTTCAATCTCTACTTAGCTTCCTCCAGCAAACAACAGAGACAAAGCTTCATATATTTTGGAAGCCTGAGCTAAGAATGATCTCTCTCATAAACATTATCCAATCATATCACTATACTTACTGTTTAACAAGTGTTTAAAGATACAGACTCAACCAGAAGATTTCATAAAGATTATACATGGGATATACATTTTATCATGGCAGAACTATGAAAGTAATCATACTAAAGAAAATATATAAAACCTAGTGAAATAGAAATCTCAGGCTGATAACATATATTTGTAACAACAACTTTTAGATTTAGCGCCAGAATAACTTAGGACACGGTACGTATCGTCAGGTGACCTCAAAAAGTGCGCGAAAATAACAACATTTCAGAGGTTGACACTGACAGCCTTATGTTAACAAATCATGCTGTGTTGGGAAATATCACAAGCTGTGTAGTCAAAATAACAAAGGGGATGCTATCTGTGCTATTAACAAGATAATAAGAGATTCTTTAATTGGTTTTAGTACAACTTTAATATGTGTACCAACACTGGGTATCAAGGGAGAATGATACTAACTTCAGATAGTAAGTTTGAATGAAGCCGTATCGATATCTGAAATTATGTTATTATGTTATATTTTGAAGGTTTATGTCAATGCAAAGAGGATATGCTCATTTTTCCGGTTTTGGTGTTGCAGTCTTCATGAGTTTGTTGACCAGTATTGTAGTGGTTGTTATCTCGCTCTTGATCCCAACTGAACCGAATGCTCTGTTCATTTTAACTGGATGTCTGATAATATTCACAACACTTCTGACTACTCTACTGATTTTCTTCTCAAAGGTAATATTTTTTAGAAAGGTCGCATTGAACATATGTGCAAACAACAAGTTCTTTCTCTAGATCGTAATTTCAAAATAACTTTGTATAATTCTAATTTTTATTGTACTCCCGGTAATTTTCGCGTATTACTATATTTCGCACTCGTTTTGGCAGATACGCGAAATGAAATAGTCGCGCAATTTGAAAAAGTTTTAATTCGCGAAATATAATAGTCACGAAATTCCCGGGAATTTATTTCACTCAATGATGATGATAGTTTCGTCCAGTATTGGGCGATAAATGGTTGGGAGGTTACTGTATTCTTACATTCGGATTCTGGAAGATCATGATTAAATGAACATTCTCACAAAATTGAAGGGTAATCATGGCTGTTGTTGAAGTGGAAAGCTTGGAATTGCATGACAAATCCACTAAAACTCTAAAAACGTACACGAAGTAATCGCAAAGCCGCAAGCTAAATAAAAGTAGCATGGACACAATTTGAAGTCAACTAACGCGAAAAAACTAAAATTAGCGAAATATAATATCCTCGAAATTTCAAAATCGCAAAAACGCGAAATACAATAGCGTCAAATATTAGTGGGAGTACAGTAATTCCAATGTACTTTAGGCTAGCATCATAGGAAAAGGAGTTGATCCACGTTCCATTGCGTTATTTGCTCCATTCTGTCCAGTGCTTGGCTTCTTGGGGACAGTTGCTGGAGAAATGCCAGAGTTTGGTGCTGTCAAGTCGCTCAACATTCCTGAAGCTGCTTTTGCTGCCGGGAAGATTGAACACAGTGACCACGATTTGTCTACATTATGTAAAACTGAATGATTGATATATATGATAACACCTGAAATTAACGTTTAATTTCCTGTTTCATCAATATCATAGTAAAATATCACCCAAGATTATAATATTGTATAGGGAACAATAATATCATGCAGCATGATACTCAACTATACCAAAATATATTTCAATTCAAGTTGACATTATTAAGTATCACCTCAGGTTCAACAGGATTATACCAGTACCATTTCCGATGATACCATTATTCTTAGTGCAGTGAAGTATACTACCAACTAAACTATGAACATTGAAAACACCAGAGCTAAAGAGATGACAGACATGATTACGTCCCTTGCTTGCCAACTTCGAATGTTCGAATTTTCAACGGCTTGTTCCCGAATACCACACATTTTTGCGATGTTTAATCTATGTTAGAATATTCCTTACACATTCTTAATCTTGATCGTGAAATAACGAACAAGCTATGACGCTGGTTAACAAGCCAGATATTAACATAGTAATATAATATTATCAAGTTGTATCAGAAGCGATTTTAGAAAATTTTGAAACCGCCATTTAATGACGTCATTTGTCTGTCGAATCAATCAGCGACGATGTCATCTCAATACACGTTTACATGTCTTCTCTGAACCCTTGGGGTTTTCCCCACTTGATTTGACTACAGTATACAAATGCTTTTTTCCCAGGGCTTTTTAATTACACGGTTTTGAAATTTAAAAAAAATACTGTTTTAATTACCCAAGACTTAAATTAAACGAAATTACTCAAATATTTGTTCAAGCTTATTATAACTTGCAGGAAACATCATCATATCGGACATATGATCTGAGTAATTGTATGTATATATCAATAATGTTGTTCATTTCAACTAAAGCAATAACCTCAAACTGAAAATGATTTT